GAACATGTAGATTATGCAATTATGAATATAACGCAACTTGAACGGATCAAATCAGAGTTAAAACGAAGATTTTATGGCCTAAATAAAATTAGTGACAAAACTGTAAATAGATGAAAGCGTATTTTGGATCTAACCGAAGAAACTACATTTTCAAAAGAAGAAAACGTATTTTAGGAATACGCTTTGGACCGCGGGTTCGAATCTACAAACGTGTGGGGACACTTTTGGAAAACGGTCGGCCGAATCGGTACCAACCGATCTAAGCCATTGGATCAAGATTGAACGGCTGGGAATAGATCAGAGAGAGAGAGAGAGAGCGGACCGACGTGGCCGGTGGCGAGCTAAAGGCGACGCCATGGATGGAGACGGGTGGCACACATAGAACACGGCCTATGGACCACGGGGAAACAAACCGAGGGCACCGGGAGAAAGAGGAGAGAACGGCGAACTCCGCTAGGCCGCTTACCGTGGTGCGGAGCGAAGGGAGGCGGCACGCGGCTCGACAAGGCAAACGACAGACGGTGACTCTAGGGTTTCATGGCGGCTCGATGACTCAGTGTGGTAGCGGCTTTGGCGAGACTTGATGGAGAGGTGGCGCGATGCGTGGCTACTATTTAAGGCCGGAAACTTGGAGCGCACGCCAAATGGAGTCTATGGCGATGGCGGAGTTAGGGTAGGAGACGACTGAAGGTTGACGATGACGCTGACACGCGGGTCCCACAAGTTAGCGAGACGCGTGGGAGAGAAAGGAGCGGACGACGTGGTGCTGGGCCTGCCTGCTGGGCCATTGCGGGGGAGAAGAGCGGAGGCGCGGGGGACTGGGCTGCTGTAGGAAGATGGGATGAGCAGCTGCTAGGCCATGGAAAAAAACAAGGCCGAGCTGGGCCAGAAGAGAGGGAGGAGGAAGAGTTCTTTCTTTTTTTTCAATTTCATTTTCAAATCCAAATTCAAATCAAATTGAAATCCTTTTGAAATTTTCATCAAACCCAAACATCTTAAAAATAAGTATGCATCAGCATGAATGCACAAACATGTGGCTATACCTTATAATTGATTTTAATTTTAACAAAGTTATCATTTTTCTAAATTTAAATGCTCACAAAATGCAAAATTAAATTATTTTCTCCTATTTTAAAATATTGCCAATTTTAGGGTGTTACAGTTGACTACGTGTTTGAACAGTGTTTTCCCTAGGCGCCGAAGTTCCGGCGATCTGTGTCGGGACTTCCGATGCAGATTTGAACGGTTGGAGTTTGCCTATGAGTATAAATATCTCTCTCATCTCTTCTAACCGTTACACACTCATTCATTACGACCAAACTCTGGCCAAAACAGCTCTCAAGCATTCATTGCTCCCTCTCCTCTCCCCTTTGCTCCTAACTTTGATTTTTCTAAGGATTTGAGTGAAAGGAGAGTGGATTGAGTGAGAGAATTACTTTGGCAAGCTTGAGCACTTGATTTCTTTGTCAAGTCAGTTGGATTTGTGTCTATTACTCTTAGAGCTTTGCTCCTAGCCTGGCTAGACATCGCCTAAGAGCTTCCATCTTGTGGAAGAGCCATGGAAAGTTTGTATTATCCTTGATTTCTTAGTGGGAAGCTCAAGTGACCTTTGTGGTCACCTCAACAACGAGGATGTAGGAGCTGCTTTGTGGGGTTGTCGAACCTCGGAATAAATTCTTGTGTCCCACGTGTTTGTTGTTGTTGTGATTTGTGCTATTATATACCATTAGGAAGTGGGGTTGTAAGTTATCGGATTCACAAAGTTCATTTTAGCTTGGATTGAGTAGTTCACATAGGAGTCGGAACTCCCGGCTATTTGTGTCGGAACTTCTAGCTGTCGGAATTTCCGGCCCAAACTGTCGGGACTTCCGACAGTTGCTGACAAGTTACTTTGAGTTTGTGTAGAAAATTTTTCGATACGCCTATTCACCCTCTCTAGGCATTATTTAGATTCTTTCAATGGTTCACCGAAGTTGAAGATTTTGTAGCTCCAAAGTCAAAACAAGAAGGGTGAGACTAGGGTTTAGACAGGAGCTGAGCCATAAATTGCCGATAGGAGGGATCCAGTTCTATAAGACATATTATTAGGAAGGACAAAACAATATTTTTAAAAAATATATAACAAAATATTATGTGCAAAAGAAAAGGTCATCTAGCATAGATGATGCTCGGTCCCCCTCAACTCCTTCCTCTCTCTCCGCCCCTAGAACGGAAGAGGAGTAAGGAATGGATAAAAGGGAGAGTGATAGATGGAAGAAAGAAAATTTAATACTTGAACATTTAGATATAGAGTGCAGAAAAAGTTCTTATGATACTTGTATTATCTCTTTATCCAGTATGGTCGGTGAGCCGGCGACTAATTCTAATGCGGCGGCTTATGTCTGTGCTATAAACAAACCTGGATGCGTAAACAATCGCTCTGTTCGTTTGGGTTTATTTGGCTTTATAAGCCGTACTTTTTCAGCCAACAAACAGTATTTTTTTCTCACATCAAATCAGTCCAACAGTATTTTCAGCCATGACTTATCAACCAAATAAGCCCAAATGAACAGGGCGTGGCGCTGCTCCCTTTGCCACTAGTAACCTAGTAGCTCCTTGAATTATCACCTGCGTTAGCCACCCCTGATTAAAAGTAATAGGCAAGTGCACTTCCTTACTTTTTCTGAAGTAATAGCCGGCATATGAATACAAATTTATTGTACTCTAATAACTTAGAACGGGTGCTCTGGTCTATTTTTGATTAAAAATTATTTCTTTAGCAGTAGTAGGTGGCTAGAATACCTTGGACGAACAGATAGATCTTGTAATTAAACAAGTTGCTGTAAATACACACATCTCCTTCCACTGATCAATATCGTCATTTTTTCTTTCTGTAAATAAATCCAAAAAAAACGCAAACAATTATATTAAGCCTACGATTTAAACCCATGCAAACAATTTTTTTCAAAAAAAGCTAATCAAATTGAGCTAAACTTGTCCTCCTGTACTACTGGTAGGAAGGATTAGAGTGACGGAACAGAACGCGACTGCACTCGTGTCCTGCTGGTCAATTCGAAAAAAAAAAAAATGATCAAAAAAAATTCAAAAATCAAAAGCCAAACAAACTTTTCCGTCACTTGCACGCCGGGACCGGGACCGGGACCCATCTCGTCCGTCCTCTAGCCCATCCAACGGCTGATGCGTAAGGAGGGGTGGGTCACGGCATTTTATATAGGAAAATGTAAAAGGGATTATTATACATACAGGTGGGCCCCACTGCCTCTCACCCTCAACAACCCCACCGGTCCATCCCCAGCAGATCGATTCCCGAGGGAGACGAGACGAGCGCCGCCGCACCGGACCGAGCCAGAGGCCCCCCCTCCCTCCTCGCTGACTCGGCTCTTCCGCCGTCGCCGGAGGCGAATCAAGTGTAAAGCAACCCACCCTCCTCCTCCCCTATCATCTCCCTCCACATGCGCTGTTTTGTTCTGTAGCGGGTTGGGCGCCGCCGCCGGCGCCGATCGTTCCGGTGTTTGTGTCTGTCTGTGGCTTCGATTGTTCCTATGAGCGACGGCGAGCGAGCCCTAATACTAGCTCCTGCTGGGATGGGCGGGCTGAGGTGGGGTGGAATTGTGGTCCGGTTGTTGCGGTAGCAGCTTGTCTTCTCCCCCCAACATTTCTGGTTTGGTGAGTGCTGTGCTGCAGCACCTGATCGTTAGGTATGCAGGGTGCCGATCCGAATTGCGGCCTGGCCGTGGGCAAAGCACTGGACCCGCAGTATCTGCTGCTGCTGCCATTTTCTTGCCCGGCGTTTGTTGCTTGCGCCTTGACTTGTAGTAAAATTAACATGTTATTGCCCCCTGCCCGGCCGGGCAGTTCTGCTCGTACTCCATCGTCAGAGGTGACAAGTAGTTGGACTCTGGCGCTTCGGTAAAGAACAGTGATTTGTAGTTACTGTTCAATGAACGGCTGTACTTGGATGGTTTGCAGGATTTGATTGAGCTTGGATGGCTATCCGTACTAGTTTCCTTCTCGATTGATGGAATGATCAATCTAATTTTCAGTGTGGTAGTCCGTGGGCCGTGCTTGTTCGAAACATATATTCCATACGAAGTTTCTACTTGCCTCTCTGAAAAAGTAAAGCGTTGAAAAGGTAAAGCTATTTCAAAAAGGTGTAATAACGTGGGAAACATTGTTGGTTCTTGTCACTGTAGGTGGGGGTTTGATGGCGATTGACATGATGACATTGGGATATGTTCTGGGTTCTTGTATCCTGATATTTTGATATTGCAGGGTGCCATTAAAATTGATGAATTTGACCTTCCTACACCTATTACCAGTTTGTATGACTGCAAAACTGTTGTACTGTCATGTTCTGGATATGTTTTCTCTATGCCCGTTACTACCGATTAAAGGACCCTTCCGTGGCATCTCTACTTTTTTGTTGAATGATGAATGGATGGCTCACAGACATCATTTGGTTTTCTTACTTGTAGGGGGACCACAGAAGCATTAGCTGGGTGAACTCATTCAAAAGGGGCAGGGAATAGTGCCCTAGTTTGAATGGCTGCTACAAAGCTTCAGGCCTTTTGGAACCACCCTGCTGGCCCCAAAACCAGTTAGTTGTTTTCTGGACTTTAATCTTTCTCTATCTTTCTTTGTTAACAGTGAACAAAATCATCCCTCATATTACGTAATGTTCTGTTCGTCATTGCTGGTCATGGCCATCACCATCTTGTACAGTGACAAGCTGTATAAAGACTGGCAATGGCCATCACCATCTTGCACAGTGACAAGCTGTATAAAGACTGGCAGTGGCCATCACCATCTTGCACAGTGATGTCTTCTTAGCTTGTGCTTATTTCAATATATCAAATTATGCATGATCTGCATTCCTGGTAGTATTTGTTATCACACTGTCCTCTAGATGGGAAATGTAATTTTGCTTTGTACTGCAGAAATGCAAAGAATGCTCAAATAAAAATGCTGAAACTTATTTGCATTCATTTGTCAATAATGTGATGCATGGTGTACTTAACAAACTATCCTCACAACCTCTGACTTCAAAGCTGACCTTCATTGCAGTTCATTTCTGGGCGCCAACATTCAAATGGGGTATTAGCATTGCCAACATAGCCGACTTTGCTAAGCCGCCTGAAAAGATATCTTACCCTCAGCAAGTTGGTACGGCTAAGCTACCCAATCACTTTAAGTTGTATCCCTGTATTTCAGATAACATGGACTTTAGTTAAAGTGCATTATTGTATAATTCTGGTATGCTTACACTTTTGCATGATGATCAGCTGTTGCATGCACTGGACTCATTTGGTCAAGGTACAGCTTGGTTATTACACCGGTAAGCCATCAGTTTGTGGTACTTGTCCATTGGTTCTAGCTATCCACTGAAATATACAAGGTGATATGGGCTGTATTTGATCTTAACGTAACCTTTCTTGCTGCAAATAAATTGGTTCTTCTGTTAATATTCTCATGGTGTATTTTCTAATAAGTGTTGATATTCATTTGCTTGTATAGTTTATGCTTGATACTTCTGTCTTCTCCTTCACACGTGTTCCACAGGACTTGTCATCTCAGAGAACAGCAATTTCTTGCTCTGGACTCTACATACAACAAAACATTTTAACCATACTGATTATGTATATAAAATTTCTTGTTCTTAGGAGTTTGGACTCTTAATAGACAATCAAAACTTTTTTCACTTTACTGATTATTTATATGACTTTGAAATGAGCTCATAGTTTCGCAGCGAAATTATGCATGCATTGTGTTTTTCATAGTATTGATGTCCTTACATCTGTTTTTCGCATTTGATTGCCTGATATGTTAATTGCTGAGATACTAGCCTTGGTATGTTAATTGGTGCTTACCTGATTGCCATGGAATGTTATCTTGTTGCAGAGAAACTTGAACCTTTTCAGTGTTAACGTTGCAATGGCGGGTACAGGCCTGTATCAGCTTTCACGGAAGATAAGGTTTGTCCCAAAGCCAAGCCAGCAAGTGTCATGTTGTCGATATGTTGAGTGAAGAACATGATTTCCTTATGGATCTCCTTTACAGGCAAGATTACTTCTCTGATGAGAAGGATGCTGCTCCACAATTGGAAGCATAGATAATGACAGCAGACAAAGAGTAACGGATTGGGAAGTCTGCAGCCTAGGAGTCTACTCTTGATTTTTTTCTGGGCAGGCAAAGAATAACAGATGGGTCATGTTTGTTTTCCTGTTATTCTGAAATCATGATCAGGTCAATGTTGAAATCTTCTGCCAAAAAAGAAAACCCATGAAGTAATCTTTTGTGCATTTTTTTGTGGGAACAAGTCATGCAAGTATTTATCTGTTATTATCCTTTTGTTCTCTCAATCTCTTATTTGGGACCTCTAAATTGTTTGCCATGCTGATTGGTCATAACCCAGTGTTCAGAGATGTCAGTGTCCTTCACCATCCTCATTTTGTCATGACCATGATGAAGCTAAATTGTTGCCCCTGCAGAGCGAGGAACAACCAGTTCCTTTTGTATTGCAGGTAGTGGCTGTAGACACACCTCATGCCCTATTTCCATTTGGCACAAATGGCGCCATTTGGTGTCTATTATCGGCCGGTCATTTCAGTTGCAGTTGCAGTGAATCTGTGTTTAGCAGACCGTTCGGAGAAGGGGCGGGAGCTCGCATGACCACAAGCAGAAAACTTGCCAGGAGATACTCTTACAGTAGGAAGCTTCTGCGAGTTCTTCCGGAGCCACTGGGAAATAACTGTAACTCCCTCCCTGGTTTCTCCCTAATTGTTTACTTAATAACACCCTCGTGCATGATTGGCCAGCACCTAAGTATTTAGTTGCTGCAAGCCTCAAAACACGTCCGCACCTAATGAATCGGATCTAGAGAAATGCTACGACGCCTTAGAAAGAGGACTTAGTTGCTGCAAGCCTCAGAACACGTCCACGCCTAATGAATCGGACCTTTAGAGAGATGGTACGACACCTTAGAAACCGGACCGGATGGAGTATTTTGTTGCTGCAAGCCTCAAAACACATCCGCGCCTAATAAAATCGGACAATTAAATAAATGCTATGGCGCCTTAGAAGCAGGACCGGAGGGAGGAGTATTTAGTTGCTGCAAGCCTCAAAACATATCCGCGCCTAATGAATTAGACCTTTACGACGCCTTAGAAACCGGACCAGAGTAGTTTGCTAAGAGTTCCAAGACTTGCCTTCTAGTTATTACTACTACTTAGAAAGTTTCACTGGCTGTGGAATTTTTTAATAAAAAGCGCGTTTCAATTTGCTTTTTTTTTTATACAACTTATTTTTTCAACCGGAACAGTGTTTTTCTCTCACAACAAATCTTGTTTTTTCAGTGAAGCGAACGGAGCCTAAGCCTAACTATGGAATTGGTACAAATCTCTCAATTTCGTACACGTGTACGAAAGGAAGGGAAAATGGACGCACACAACACAGGGGAGCTAAGTGCCATTAGGCTGCAATTAAAGACCCAAAAAAGAAAACCCATGAAGTAATCTTTTGTGCATTTTTTGTGGGAACAAGTCGTGCAAGTACATGGTTTATCTGTTTTCCTTTTGTTCACTCAATCTCTTATTTGGGAATTCTAAATTGTTTGCCAAGCTGATTTGTCATGATCATGATGAAGCTGATTTGTTATCCCTGGAGAGTGAGGGCATTCAACAAGTGAAGAAACAATTCCTTTTCTATTCCAGGTAGTGGTTGTAGACACCTCTCATGCCGTATTTCATTTGCACCAATTGGGAGCCATTTGGTATGTATTATCAGCCGGTCATTTCTGTTGCAGTGTGGATATAGGTTTAGCAGACCGTCCGGAGAAGGGACGCTGCACATAAAGCTCACGAATTGTTCATAGATCCCGACCGTCTCATGATGGAACGATTTGGCAAGTGATCGACCATCTGGAACACGTGAACTGCATAACGACAATTACACTGCTGTTTGGTCTGCACTCTGAATGTGCTCGAAGTTGGATTGAACCTAAACTCCCCTGCAATATGGTCACATCACAATAGGAAGATTCTGCGAGTTCTTCCGGAGCCACTGGGGGAAAATGTGCATCCAGTTCCTTTGATCAAGCTAGACGGTGACACAAAGGAACGCGATGTGGTTTTGATTAGGCTGCTGCTCCCTGATCCTAATTCCTAGGCATGTGATGTGGCATGGCGTTATGAATTTGGGGCGACCTAAAAGTGTTCTATGATGACACAAGAAAGGGTTACTGTATCGGCCACAATAACCACACGAAGGGCTGTAACTCCATTGCTTCTCTTCTTCTATCTTAATAATAAAAAAACATGGGGTAGCACGCTCTTAGAAAAAATCTAGTATGTTTGATTCAGGGGTCTAATTGAGTTGGGTTGGAGCGAACCCAATTTAATTAGGATATGTTTGATAGGAGAGGTTGGGTGGAACGGTGGAACCCAGTGTGGAATATACGTCCCAGATGTGGGTTCGTGTGATACCTTATAAACAAAGAAATTAGTTTCCACATCGACCTCGTGCCTTCTCCATCTCTCATGAGCGGGTGCAGGGACTCCTCTACCGAGCTTCGCGGGCCACCGGGGTAGGATAGCGCGGTGCAGCACTGGGCCGCCGGGGCAGGGTAGGACGGGCCGGGGCGGGGCACGCTCGCGGTAGGCCAGCATAGGGCGTCGCGGTGCTCTGCTCGACGACAGGTGGAAGAAGGTAGGAAAGTGGCTGATAGCTACGACCCACGTAAATAGCAGCTAACGGTGTTTAAAATGGTATTCATTCCAACTCACTCTATCCCTCACACTAAACTAAAATGGTATTCATCCCAATCCACTCTATCCCTCACACTAAACAAAAGTTGGAATGGTTCCATCCCTCAAATAAAGATGAGCAAAGGGTCCACCCGGCACGGCACGGCACGGGCTCATGCCGGGCTGGGCCAAAAAACGGGCTTCATGTCAGGCCACCGGGCTACAGGATGCATGCTCATCTTTACCCTCAAATCAAATATGAGATAGGTCAAACTCAACCATAAAAAATTAGAATGACTTCATTCCTCAAACCAAATATGAGATGTATCTGGCCCTTAAAACTGAGTTAGGTCCAACCCATTCTCATCGTCCCGAAACCAAACACACCTTAATTGACTATTGAAGATTCCACATCTAGGATGCCAGCTAGGAAGATGCTTAATTTCATCTAGAGTACAAGATAGTTTGCTAAGAGTTTCAAGATTCGCTGCCTTTTGGCAAGCGGTAGTTCTTATTACTTCTTAGAAAGTTTCACTAGCCGTGGAACCTTTTAAGAAAAAACGTGTTTCAATTTGCTTTTCTTATATCTACTAGTAGAACTTACGCCTAGCTATATATGGAATTGGTACCAAGCTCCAATTTCTCTCTTGCTACAGTACACACGTCTATATATGGAATTGATACCAAGCTCCAATTTCTCTCTTGGTACAGTACGTGTGTATGAAAGGGAAAAATGGACGCCCACAGCACGACATCTAACTGGAGTCCTAATCGTGCCACGTACAAATATTATTAATGAGATAGGCCCAGTATCTTAACAATCAGAACTCTAATGTTAATTTCTTTCTAGCTTACCTTGACAATTAGTTCACCATTATATTTATTACTAATAATGTCCTGAATTTGGATCATGCGCATAGATGCTAGCGCCAGGACGTCCGGCGTCCAGGACGCGTCCGGACACAGCTCTCACCAACCAACTGTTAAACGATTCCACCAACCGTGGGCTGGCGTTGCGTCCCACCAACAGGAGTCCAATCTCAGGCTGCTCACAGTAACAGAACAACGAAGTGGTATCCCTGCCCTGCTCGCGTAACAGAGAAGGGGAGAGCGTGCGCTCGCGTCCGCACCGCCATCCCCGCCGCCCCCTCAACCGGTCCCGCCGAACCCCCTCCGCAGTCTGAGAAAAAGGATGCAAGACAACAGAAGGCGAGGAGGTGACACCAAGACGAGGCAGCAGAACGCGAGGAGGGAGATGCAACACTCGATCTACTTTTGAAATATTCAGATGCAACATTTGCAACATACATATGAAGACAAATGGAACACTTAAAACATACGCATGAAACACTTGCAAAAATACCTAAAAACACTTGAAACCATTGTAAACATACGCAACATCTAGATAAAACGCTTGCAACATATATGTGAAACATATGCAACATCCAGATAAATACTCTTGCAACATACGTCTGAAAAAACAGATGAAACATTGGAACAGATGTTTGCAACATACGTGTACAATCATTTGTAGGGTCGAGATAGCGGACTAGAGGAGGGGTGAATAGTCATTTCTAAATTTAATCGCGTCGGCTAACCGAAACAAATGTGAAATTAAAACAATTGGTCTAGCCAAGACTATACCCCTCTATCGAAGTTCACAAACACCTTATAAAGATCCTAATTTCGGCAACAAAGGTGCTGGGCTAGCTAGAGCTCACCTATCCAATTCTAGGAGCAAGGTCACACAAACATATGCCACTAGTATTTTGCACAGCGGGAAACTCCTACACAATTCTAGTAAGCAAAAGCACAAAGCTTCTAAGCTCACTAGCAACGCTCAATAACAAGGCAACCAATGCCAAATTAGAAAGCGCAAATACTTAGCTACACAAACTAAGTAATGTGACTAACAAGGTTACACAAATCAAATTAGTCACGTAAGGGAGCTACTTCTATGCTACACAGGTAAGAAGGTAATTAGTGAGCTACACAAGCTAACTAATTACAAGAGCAACTATACAAGCACAATGTATATGAAAATAATTACTAGCTTGTGTAAGGGGATTGCAAACTAACGGGAAGAACAATGTTGACACGGTGAATTTTCTCCCGAGGTTCACATGCTTGTCAACACGCTACGTCCCCGTTGTGTCGACCGCTCACTTGGTGGTTCGGCGGTTAATTGGCATCACCCGTCAAGCCCGCACGTCAGGCACTGCAAGAACCTACCCTGAAAATGAGGGTAGCTCAATGACACGCTCAACTAGAGTTGCTCTTCGCGGCTCCCGCGGGGTGAGCACAATGCTCCTCACAAAGCTCTTCTCCAGAGCACCGCACAAGCTTATTGCGGGCTTCGACGGAGACT